CTGGTTTCTAGTCCCAAGAGAAGAGACCCTATCAGTTGGTCTTTTAAGGAAAGTTGGCAAGGTGGCGAGTGGAAGGAACTGGGCTTGGGACTCATGGCCACTTACCAGCTACCTGAGCTGATCTAGAGACCCTCACATGGTCTTTAGGCTTTATTGAGACGTGTCTGAAGTTTCTGGCATATAGCTGGCCCCAAAGAAGTGATGGCTCTTTTTTCCTCCTCCTCCTGCATCTCTTTTCTTTGACAAAGGGCAGCTATCAGAAGTGCGACCCCTGTGTCTCAGGGAGGGAACAGAAGTAGGCCGCCATCTTCCACCCTTAGCCCCATCACAGGCATCACTCATCCTGCTTTGGTGCCAGAGAGTGTTGCCTGCCACTCTGGTTTGGTTCCCTGGTCTGGTTGGAGGGACAGGCATTGGCACCATCTAGCACCACCCCAGCCAGGCCAAACATACTTACAAACTCCTCCTTGGGCAGTGATAGTGGCTTTGCGCATGGATATCAGGAAGCTTGGGAGGGGCCTGGGAGGCAGTAAGAGAAAGGCAGACAGCACAGCTTCGTTCCTGTGTTCTCATCAGCCAGCATTGGTTGAGTCCCCTTCCTTTGGGGACCTGGGGGTGCATTTGGGTCCCTCTGCAGAGTGGCCTCAACTTGTGCCAGGCTCAGGGTCCTCAGCTTTGTGCTGTGAGGTCCTCTGACAGTGGGCAGCAGGCTCCCATCAGAAGAGTGTGGAAGTCTTGTTGGAACCAGTTGATAGCCAGTCTTCAGCTTCAGCCATTTCCACTCCCCTGCTGGACTTCCAGGAACATCTGGGGGCTGCTGATTCCCAGAGCCCCAGGGATTGGAACAGGAAGTGTTGCTCAACCCACTCAGGCCTGTTGCCGGATTTGTGTTCCTCCTGCCTTCCACTGTGGGAAGAATGCTGGTCCCTGGGCACTGCACTGGGTGTGGGCACTGCTGCCTCCCCATGCCATCGGGTTCCAAGGCCCTGACATCTCCTGTCTCAGGAAGCTTCAGGCAGCCTTTTGCAGCCAGGGCTCTTGATCCCAGTGAAATGTGTTCCCCACAGTGTGCTAGCCTGGCGGCGCAGCTGCACAGTTTAGTGCTTCCCACCAGTGCTGCAGACCCAGGCTGGCTGGCTGGTGAGGCACAACACTGCGCTGTGTGTGAAAGTGCTTTGTAAAGTGTTGTGTAGTGGTAATTGATTGTTAGTAGAAAAGGCTGCATCTAACCTTCCTGTGCTCAGGTCTGAGTCCTTGAGTGCACGATAAGATTACGATAAGAAAATGAACCGCCCTTGTGCCTCCCGTCCCTTCCTCCTTCCTCTTCCCCTGGTGATATCCTTGTGAAAAGAGAGGAGAATCCAACCCTGCTGAAGAAGCAAACCCCAAATCTTATCTGGCTCCCTGCCCCATACCTCAGTCACCTCTAAGCGAGGGGCCAGGGGCTGCACAGACCCTCCCAGAACTGACAGAGATGATGGAGAGAGCACAGCCAGCGCAGAAAGCCGTTTGGGACCCAGGGAATTCTAACTTGACCCTTGGGCTCAGAGCTAAGTTACAAACCAGTCGCGGAGAATGCAGGGGGACACTAATTCAGAACCAGTGATCTTGCTGTGCTCTTCAGGAGACCATCCATTAAGTGTGGAGAGGAGCCCATGAAAGGGGGCTCTATCCCAAACTCTCACTTTATAGATGAGTTTCCAAGCCGAGAGAGTGAGAAATCAATGCCCAAGAACGTCTACAGTATGACTCTGCCTTCTCAAAGCTAGACTGTTTTTCCTCCCATCTTTGTTGGGGATTTTTCCTCCAATAGTTTATTATGGGAAACACTGAATGTACAGCAAGGTGGAGGGTTTTGCCATGAACACCCAAATCCCTGCCACCTGGAGTCTGCACTGTTCTTCCTGTGTCACGTCTCTCCCTGCACCTGTCCGTCTTATCCTTTTGATACATTTCAGAGTAAAATGAAAACACTCATATGATTCTTTATTGGGGTTTTTAATGATAAAAGTAATGTATGTTCAAACAATTCAAAGTATGTGAAAATATTTTTCTTCTACTCCTCCTTTCCTCCACACTATTAAAGTGTGTGTATCCTTCCAAACTTTTTTCTGTACTTACACAAACATATATATACACATAAATATTTAAATATGTATGATATCTCATGCTTTAAAAAATGAGATCATAGCCCTTTTATTGATCTGCCACTTGCCACATTAGGAGTCTGAGGTTGTACTCCAATGGCAGACTGACTATGTGCTGTCGGCTTTTTCTGTTTATGTCACCCTTTCAGGTGGGCCTTTAGGTTAGACAGATCTTAACAGATGCAGAAAATGACCACAGGTTGTTCTGGTGGCCAGGAAGCTGGGAGTGACTTCTCTCCCCGCTCCTGTGCATGGGGATTTAAGTATTGGATTGTCTTAGGCTTTTTCTTGGGGCCCCTGTTTGGGGGCTTTGAGTCACTATAGCCTTTTAAGCCATGAAGAATCCTCATTTTATGGGCCCCAGATGTTTCTCTTTCCACCAAAGTAATCAGAAGGCACCAAGCAGAGTCCCAGGCCTTGTACTCCATTCACAAGCCCTGTGACTTAAGCAAGATGTTTGACTTCTCCGGCTTCAGTATTCCTGTTTGCAAAGTGGGAATAACGCCGTGTGCCCTGCCTGGCTCGTAAGATTGTGAGGCTCAATTGAACACACACACAGAATCTCAGTATGTAAAATCTTTCAGTAGTGGGGAGTTGGTCCTGCTTCAGGCTCTCCTTCCTTCACATCAATAACCCTGCTCTCTTGGTAGTTGTCCTGTGGTTTTGAGAACTTCTGGGTCACCTTTTGCTTACTTCACCTCTTTCACGTGCCTTTTCTATATTAGGGTTAACCTGGTTTCTGTAGTCTGCATTCTTTGGATTTCAGTCCAAACTTTCCCCCAGATAATCTCTTTATCCCACATCTACACTTCTTACGCACATCTCTTCTAAACCCCAGATCTAGACTTGAACACACTTCTGGAGGTTTCCATTGGCGTGTCCCGGTGGAGACTCCTAGTCAGTACCTCCCACCCAACTCTGAATTCATTGCTTCCTTCCCATGCTTGTCCTCCTCCTCCTGGGTTCCCTCTCTTAGTGATGAGCACCTGCCATTTACCCAGCTGCCCTAGTTGGCGTGCCCTTCCTCCCTTCCTGCCCCATTGCTAGTGCAGGGCTTGAGTTCATCTGTCCTGCATTGCTGTGTTGGCCTCCAGAGTGGGCTCCCCATCTGTGGCCTCTTCCAGTCCATTCTCCAGTAGTTTCCAGAGACCGGATTTGACTAGAGAGCGTCTCCAGGGCCTCTCAGTGAACCAGATAAAACCCAAGCACCACAGCAGGACATGAGTCTGTCCTGGGGAAGTTGTTCTCATTCCCTCCCGCCCAGGCCCCCAGGCGGCTCTCTGCACCTGCCATAGTAAACTTCCTGCAGGTCCCAGGCACTCAGGCACTGTTCCCTTAGCCCGGACTAGCCTTCCCTCACAGTCCGCACCCAGTGAGGCATCTTCCACACGTCTCACACCTGGGCCTGTATGTATCGTGAGGCTTCCTAGAAATTTCTCTGTTGTTCATTTCCGTTTTCTTGTTCAGCCTCCCCTGTTAGACTATGAGCTTCTTGAATCCTGAGACCGTGGCCTATTCACCGAGTCACCTGTGCCCAGAATGTCATGGAATTTTAATAAAGGATTGCTGACTCGGCCGTGGTGCTCTCCCTCTTCTGCTCCAGTTTTTCCAGTCATAACTTTGCTAGGGGTCCATGGTGTGCGGTAGCTTCCTTCCATTCATTCTTTTTTGTGTGGGGGTGGGGGGTCTTTTTTCTTTTTTTTTTTTAAGTTGTGCATTTAGTAGCATTTAGGATGTTCACAATGTTGTGCAACCACCATCTCTGTTTAGTTACAAACATGTCATCACCCCAAAAGAAAACCTCTTGCATGATTCCACTTACATGAGATATCTAAAATAGTCCACTTCATAGAACCAGAGAATAGAATGGTAGTTGCCAGGGGCTGAGGAGAGAGGGAAATGGAGAATTGCTATTCAACGGATATAGAGTTTCATTTATGCAAGATGAGTAAGTTCTAGAGATCTGCTGTACAACATTGTGCCTATAGTTAACAATACTGTACCATACACTTAAAAATCTGTCAAGAGAGTAGATCTCACGTTAAGTGTTCTCACCACAAAGAAGAAAAGAGAAAATTCCTTCCCCATTAAACAGTCACTCACCATTCCCTCCTGCCCCTGGCCCCTGATTTACTTTTTGTCTCTATGAATTTGCCTATTCTGGACATTTCATATAATGGAATCATACAGTAGGTGGCCTTTTATGTCTGGCTTTTGTCACTTAGCGTATTTTTGAGATTCATTCATATTGTAGCATGTGTCACTTTGTCATTACTTTTCATGACTGTATACTATTCCATTGTATGGATATACCACATTTTGTTTATCCATTCATCAGTTGGTGGACATTTGGGTTGTTTCCACCTTTTGGCTATTGAATAATGCTGCTGTGGATGTGCATGTACAAATATTTGCTAGAATACCTGTTTCTCCCATTCGTTCTTGCCTTGTACCTCTCTTCCCATCACCATATCTTTCCAAACCAGCAATCAGTGCACCTGGTCTATGTAGCGTTGAGAGGAAAAGTCTGTTCAGGAAACAGTTTGCCTCATGCTGTCTCTGCTATGTGTCTATCCCTCTCCAAGCCTTTTTCGTCCTCCATCCCCTTGGCCACTTTTTTGATGATTAATCCCATTTTGTCTTTGGATAATTAACATGTGATGTGCATGTCTTGTCTCCACAGTGAGGGCCTTCACACCAAGGTACCTCTTGGGCTTCTGTGTCCCCCACAGAGCCTTGCACACTTTGGGTGACCCAAGCAGTCTCAACCAGTTCCTAGGCCCGTACTTGCTTTGTGCCACCTGTCTGCTGGTGACTGACCCTCTCCCACTCTCCCCTGTCGCCCCTTTGCAGATGACGTGCTGACTAAAGATGCGGGTGAGTGTGTGATCTGCCTGGAGGAGCTGCTTCAGGGGGACACGATAGCCAGGCTGCCCTGCCTGTGCATTTATCACAAAAGGTACGAGAGAGCTGGTGGGGCCAGCTCAGCCACATCCCAGATCCCAGGGGCCTCCTTCCAGCTTGGAAGAGAGAAGGGCCAACCCTCATCAGTAGCCATTCTGTCCCATTGGGTGCAGGACAACCCTTCCTCCCCCTGAGGGCTCTGAGTGGGATCCAGGCAGAGGCCAGCAAATAGGAATGTGTGAACGTGCTCAGTGCAGGGCCAAGCAGAATTGCACAAGGTTTTGCTCTGGTTTGTTGGCCTGGATGGTGGGGGCTGATGGAGAGACCTGTGGAGACCCATAGGTTGGAGGTGCTTAGGACCCCACAGAGCCAAAGATTCCATTCTTTGGAAAGTTGATCCTCCATCCGCCTCCCTGAGCCTTTTCTTCCTCTTTGGGCCCCTCTGCTCCATGGGGTGAGGGCCTTCATCTGTGCAAGACAGGCAGCATGGAGGGGTGTGCTTGCTGCCCCTGCACCCGCCTCTTCTCCCCAGAAGCCCAGGAGGCAGGAATAGCCACTACCTGTGGGACCACAGCCCTGAAAGCTGCTATAATTAGCAGGGCTGAGATTTATCCTCAGGCTCCAGCATGAGCCGCCTTCTTATTTCCAACTGGAAAGAAGACACCACCTTACCCAAGACAGGAGGACGCTCTGTGCTGCCTGTGGCTGCCACCTGCTCTCAGCTCCTTGAGCCTAAAGCTTCTTCCTGACACACAGGCTTTTCCAAAGCCTGGTTCCCGGAGCTGCTGTCCACAGGGTGACCATGGTGCCTGGTACTCGGATGTGGCTGATGCAGGGAAGGCTGCAGGTTGGCCTGAGGGAGGAGGTCTTGGTCTAGGCCCAGCACGGACCGCTCCAGTGTCCTGGGCAGGCACCAACCAGAACCAGAAGAAAGGAATCTTTGGCTCTGGGGAGAATTATGCAAATGATCTGTCTGGTTCCTGTCTTTGAAAATACCCAGATGTTGGTTTACAAATCAAAGAGCTGTCTTGGGGCAATCTCTGTCTCCTCTCTGATTCAGACAGTCCTTCCTGTAAACACTAGAGACCAGGGTTTCACTGTCAGCCTCCTCTCTGGCTCTCCATGGCAGTGTCACTGAGCCAGAGGGCCATCCTCCTCTTCCCACCTTCTCTGGGGAGGGCTAGATACCCACTGCCCACTACAGCAAACAGAGCCAGGTAGAGCTTAGGGGTCTCCTGAGAAATTAGCCACCAGGGAGGGAGCCTCAGGGCTGTTGCTTTGATACAGGAGAGGGCTCTCTCAGGACCCCAGAGCTCAGAGCACTGGCCAGCCTGGGGGTCTTTGTTCCCCTTCCCTGCTCTTCAAGCCTTTGAGATAGTTGACTAGCCACCCTGCACAGGTCGCCCTCTCTCACCTTCTCACCTAATAGCTGTTGCCACCCTCCTGGGCTCCACACAGGTAAGATCTTGGTTCCTCTCAAGGCCACACTCCCCCCTACTTCCTGCAGTGCCCAGGTCCACCCTGATCCTGTATCCACCACACCAGATTGGCTGCTCCCAGCTGAGCCAAGATTAGTCTTAGTGTTCTCCCTGCTTCCTTCTTGCACAAAGTGGGTATCTGGGGACACCTTTATTTTCCCATGGGGTCCTCACAGGTGAGATGTAGGAAATTTTCTGCTCAGAAACCTGACCCTTGGAGAGAGCCAAGTGTCCTGGTCAGCAGGTAATGTATTTCCCCTTGCTGCCTCCCTGCCTCAGTTGCATAGACTCGTGGTTTGAAGTGAACAGATCTTGTCCAGAACACCCTGCGGACTGACCCTGCTGGGCTCACTTGCTGACTCCTCTCAAAGGTGAGCCCGTGGTTGGGGGTGCTCTGGGCTCAAGGTTTGGGGCAGAGTCACTCTGGGGCCTGGAGGTGGGGGGCTGAGTTGCCCTTATTACACACCCCACTGAGAAAGGAGCAGGGGGAGAGGGGAGTGTCTTAGCAATTAGTGATCCCATAAAGGGGAATATGATTCCCTGGGAAGGATGAGAGATACAAGCTCGCAGTTATGAAGAACTTGCTCAGTAGAGTTGGATTAGTTGGGGAAAAGACCAGTGTATTCCAGACATCTAGGGTGAATCTTGCTGAAGAAGGTCAGAAAGATCCCCTCGGAATGTGCCAGGTAGGAGAAGCTCGGGGACGGGACACTGGGTTTGCAGCCCAGCTCTGCCTTGTGCTCGTCAGGCGGCTGGGGCAAGTCCTTACCTCTCGGGTCTCTTTTTCTTTGGGGATGGGGATAATCTTGCTCCCCATCCCCGTGTGGACATCACACCATGAAACAAGACAGTCTGTGGGACAGTGCATTGTCCCCTGCCTTGCTTGTCAGCAGTCATTTCTCTGCTGGTTCTTCCCACCTGCAGGCTACCTCCCTCACCCCTGCTTCTAGATGAATCTGAGGCCTCCAGGCCCGACTCGGCCCCACCTAGCCCACAGCCCAGGTCCCCAATTCCACAGCAGGCCAGCGCAACTAACTTCCTCTCCCAAATATGCTCTCGTGTTCCCCAGTACAATGTCTGGTCTGACCTCTCCATTTCTTCCTCAGGACACCTTACTTTACTGCTGACCATCCTCTCCTGTCCCCATCCTATCTGTCCCTTTGAGTTCTGGGCTGGCACTTCCTTTTTTCTGGCAGACAGATAAAACCCCTAGAGAAACTAAAACCCTGACTCCACCTCATCTCACATCCAAAGGTTTTGGGGCCTCGTTTCTTTTCTGTCTCTCTCTCTCTCTCTCATTTCCTTGTTTTCTTTTGTTCTATGTTAGGTTTATTTTATTTATTCCAAGTAAACTCCCAGAACAGCTGATGATGTCAGACAGATCAGGGACATTTGCTCTTTTTACCTTCCCCTCAAAAACTGAGGACATGGGGAGAAGAAAAAGCGAGGGTGAGCATGAGGAGAGGGAGTGGAGCCTGGCACTGGTGTGCGAGTGTGAATTCCCGGCATGATGTTTGGCTTTGGGGGGCCCCCCCCAGACCGGAACCACAGACACCCCCGCCCGGCCTCAGCAGGATGCCCACGGCTGGCCCCAACGGAGCGCGACTTACATATTACGGTCCCCACAGGGACAGCCAGCCCCTGTTCCTGAGAGGAGGCATCGGACACTGGGGCAGAGCTGAGCTGGGGACACCAGTGGGAACAGGGCACCCCTTCTGCACTGACTTCCAGAGAATGTTCTCCCTTTCTCCCTGAGGACACCAAATTGGATGCGAGTGATTTTGAGAGAAGAGAGAATCAACTGCTACCCTTCCCCTCACCCCTCATCCCAGGAGGGAAAGGGCCTTTTCTTTTTCACCTTTGAAAGGCATTGTGGGTCTGTCTCTAAAGTGTTTACAAAAAAAAAAAAATTATAAAAAAACACAAAAAGTCTAGTGTCGACTGGTGTTTTCCCTCGTGATGTTTACAGATTGCTGTCTGCTGCCCAGCTAGAACCCACTCAGTGACAGAAACGAACAGAGCCAGGTTCTCGCCGTGCGCGTTCTGATGGCGCTGGACCATCCTGTGCCCGGCGCCCCCGTCGGCCCTCTCCATCACCAACCGCTCTGCCTTGGGTTTTGTTTTTTTTTTTTTTTCCATTTTTCTGGCTTGGTTGTGCACTTTTCTCCCCTTGGGACCCTGATATCTTGACCTCGTTGCCAAAAAACAACCCATCAAGGACCTTCTTCCCCTCCATTCTCGTTTCCTCCCCTCTTCCCTCCTGGTTCTGGTCAGTTCAGAGGATTGAACAATCACAAGTGTCCTGCAAAAATGCCTGAACATTTTTCTTAGACCCTTGTGGATTTTTTTTCCCAGAAAACTTAAACAAAGACTTATTAAAGGAATATGTACAGCAACCCCTGTTTTCAGGCACTCTGTTTGAGAACATTTTAGCCATTGATGTTCACACATGGCATCAGCCCATGCAAGATAGGTTTCTGTATTTATATATTAAAATACAAAAAAAAACCTTATAAAATGTTTAAAAAAATGTTCAAAGCTGGGGGAAAAAGCTTTCTTCATTAGTCAAGGTGTTTTGATATGGTATTAAAATAATGTCTAATAAAAGATGCACTGTGTGACTTTATTTTAATGAAGTGTTATTACACAATCAAGAAATGGGGGTTGAAGGCCTGTCCCCCACTCCCTCACCCACCTCCTTAGCCCTCTTTCAGGCTATTACTTGGGGCTACAGGTGTGTGAGGTGGTTCTCAGAGCAGTCATGCCTGGGTAGAGGGAACATGGCAGCTCAGACCCAAGTCCTACAGGTTTACTAACCCTCTCAAGCATCGTGGAATTACTCTGCCATCACCTGTGGAGTGGTTGTGACAGAACTCTTCTGGAACGATCTGCAGGGCAAAGATGGAGGCTGCAAGGATGCAAGTTCTTCCAGCTGTTGCCCCAGACCCCCTCCCCCTTTCATCCTGGGCTCCCCATCCCACGTCCTGCCCTGCCTGTTGCTCAGTCTGTCCGAGTCTTAGTGCTGACTCATGGGCATGTTTCATTGAGGCCCAGAAAGAGGCCCTGGTTTGGGGCTGAGCCAGCTCAGAGCCCTTGAACTAGAACCAGCCACTCAGGCTCACAAGAGTTGGCACACCTTGGGCTGGGCGGGAAGCTCAGGGCAAGGGATAGCAGTGCATGTCTGGCCTCTGTCCCCGTGCCAGACAGGCTCCCAGAGCGGCATTCCAGAGCCTGCGAAGGAAAGCTCTGGAGGGAGACGACTCCACGCCTTCTCTGCTCTGCCCCTTCTTAGGCCTCCCGTGTGCTGTTGTCTCTGGGCTTTATAATCCCACCAGGCCCTGGCTCTGCAGTCATCTTCCATCAAATGCTTCCTGAAGCACCGACTCTGCAAGGCATTTCAGGCCAGTGGACAAGTGTGAGCCAAGGCACAGGCATGCTCGGCATGTTCAGAGAAATGCTAAAGAGGAGTTTGTGGCTCAGCCTGGGCCTTAGCATCACATCCACCTGAGGTGGAGACCCCAGGGACTGGCAATTGCCATGGTGGCAAGAACATGGCCTCCAAACTGTCTTCCTGTGGGCTCCTCTACTTGGCAGAGTGATCTTGGGGAAACGACATCATCTAAACTTCAGCTTCTTCCCCTGTGAAGTGGGGACAAAGTCACACAGCTCAGAGGTCACCGTGAGGGTCAGAGAATCTGCCCAGAAGCTCCTGGCACATGCATAGCAGACTCCCTTGTAGCTTTGTCACCGCAAAGAGCTCTGTTCTATTCACAGCACCTCCTGCTTCTGCCTGGCAACTGTGTCTCCCTGTTCTATATTTAATTCCTCCAGTAGAGCTGGCCCTGAAGGAGATCTCCTTGCCTGACCCCTGGGCTTATAGATGGAGCCGTGTGTGCCCACCTTGGTGGCTTAACCCCGGTGGCCTTGGCATCTTCCTTGGCGAGCCGAGTGGTTGTGAACCAGGCGGGGCAGGGCTGGAGCCCACGCTGGGTGCTATTCCAGGCTCCCGGGGCTGGTGCTTATATCCCCACCCCCAGAGACTTCCATTCCCACCTAGCACACTGCAGCCCTCTGCTGGCTGCCACGTCCTCCGACTTCAGACTCGGATTGCCAGCTCCTGGGGTGGGGTTGGGACCCGGGTCGACCAGGCTTCCCAGGTGGATGCACTCTCTGTCGTCCTCCACCCAGACGTCTCTCCTGGGCACTGCCTTTCTGGGAGGGGAGGGAATTGGGAAGAGCTGGGACGTAGGTTCTTCCCACTCCCACTGCTAGGGCCCAGCAGCACCTCAGGAAGACGATTCATCTAGTAGCCATTTAATGATGGTGAAGTTCTTTAGGAGAATGTCCTTATTCTTAGGAGATAAATGCTGAATTATGTAGGTGAATGATGTCAAGAAATGTGTAATTCAGTTCCATGTGGTTCCCCAAAAAATACACACAGGAGACAAATAAGGCAAAAATATTCATTGTTGAACCTTAGTGGCTGGTATTTCAGTGAGCAGTGTACTTGTTCTTTCAACTCTTCTGTATGTTTGAAATTTTTCCTAATAAAAAATTGTGGGCAAATGGCCATTTGCTGAGCACCTACTAGTTGCCAGGCACTGGGGGGCACATCAGAGAAGAGTAAAGGAGAAACCTGCCACTGCAGAGTGCTCCCCTGGGAGGGCTGCGGGGCGACAGGCAGCCTGTGCGGAAGGAAGGGGAGAGGACTGGTGAGCTGTGTCTCTGGAGTGCACACGGCTGGTGGTTAGCGGGTGGTTTTGGGGACAGGGCCAATGAGACTTGCCCCCACACCATGCCTTGGCACCGCTACTGCTCCCATTCAGGGCATCCAGGGGACAGAAATGTAGAGGAGCGAACTCAGGGCTCAGCACAGAGGAGGGGTTCCAAGAACCAAGTAGGGCTGAGGAGTCACTGAGCTGCCTCTGCCCAGGGCCTGAACAGCTTGGGGTTGAGGGGTGGAGGCAGTGAAGGAGCTCAGAGGTGGCCTGGGAGAGGGAGGGTGAGGGGAGATGGAGGGTGCTACTGCCTCCCCTGCATCACTGGCCCAGCAACTTTCCTGAGGGGCCAAGGCCCGGGGGTGAGGGAGATGGGCCCGCACGATAGGACCTGCAGGGGGCTGGAGAGTTTAGAGATTGGCTTCTAGGCACTTCCCCAACCCTGAGAAGTGGGGGGCCCAGGGCTGAGAGCTGTAGGCCCAAACAGAGGTGAGTGCTGGGTGCTGCTGCCAGAGCAGAGGCTGCACTGTCTGAGCTTTATTGGTGTTGGGTGCCCTCTCGTGGGCTTAGGGGGGAACAACTGGCAAGTACCCCACGCAGGTAGCTCCAGCCAGGGATCCCAAGGCAGGGGCAGGCTCCAGGATAACAGATCCTGACTTTGAGGACAAAAAATCAGGTAGTAAATACATCACACCATGGAGAGAGGTGGTACAAGGAGAATAACTTCACCTCCATTTTCAATGATTGGTAGCAGCTGCTTGAAGAACGTGATCAGAATGTTCTAAGATCCAGTGGGAGTCCTAAGTGATGTCGGCCATAGGCATGTCCTCAGGCCCTGAGGTTCTCATAGGTGGAGCAGCTGGCATAGGGACCTGGGTCCCTGAAAGCAACTTTCCTTCTGTAGCCTGAGCATCATCCCCTCCCCAGGCTGCAACAAGTCAGAGGACAGGCCCGAGGAGGGGTGGGGAGGGCAGGCACGGGAGGCACTTCACAGGTGCTGCCTGCTCATCTCCTGCCAGCTGAAAATGGAGTTCAGGCTTATTTTGGAGCCCCCAAGGAGAAGACCTATCAACGTGGAGGTGGAGCTCCCTTCTACACCAGGATAGGAGTGTTCCTGTCACCGGGCAGGCGGAGTAGAGCTAAGGGTGGTGGGTCTTCAGGCTTTGTCCCCAGGCCCCCAGCAGTGGGGAGGTTGAGACAGAGGGGAAGGCAGGCGAAGACCCCTGCAGGGTCTGGGCAAAGGCAGAGCTGTTCTGTGGCATGAGGAAAGGTTCCAGAACAGGAGGTTCCATTGTTTGGGGGCTTATGGGCCAAGTGCTTGCAGCCTCTCACAGCACCTTGCCTGGGTTCATGAGGCCTTGGGGATCCAGCATGGCCTTCAGTTGCCGCATGGTCTGCACACCCACAGCGCCCACCTCCTCCTGCAGCAGCTGCCGCTTGCCCAGCCCAATACCGTGCTCCCCGGTGCACGTCCCGTGGAGTGCGAGTGCCCGCCTAGGAGACAGTGAAAAAGAGATCCACAGTGGGGTGCTCCTCCCACTTCCCTTAGCTCTCCCCCAACCTGCCCACCCCGGACTTTGCTCTGACCTGCTCAGCCGTTCTGCAAAAGCCTTGACCCTGCGGAGCTCCTCGGGGTCCTCTGGGTCCACCGACAGCATGCAGTGGAAATTGCCGTCACCCACATGCCCAGCAGTGGCTCCTGGGGGCCAGAGGACAGAGTTCCTGCCCTAGCCCAGCCCTCCCTGCCTCCCACCCAACCAGTGGTGGGCAAGCCAAACCTGTGAGTCCCGAGGCATTCAGGTCCTCTTTGGCCTGCACCAGGATCTCCGGCAGCCGGGAGATGGGCACACACACGTCGGTGGAATAGCCCTGGGTCGGAGGCAGGCCTGTGAGGTTCGCCCCGCCCCCTCTGCATGCCCAGAGGTAAGGGGTCACTGCGGTCAAGGGTAAGAACAGGGTTGAGGGGCTCAGCCTCACACGGAAACATGCCTGCTCTTCTCTGGGCTCAGTTTCCGCTGTACGACAAGATGATTGACTGGGTATGTTCACCAGGTGCTGCCAGCAGAGGCTTCCACAACTCTCACCTTGCTCCCCACCCCCAGCTCTGGGCAGGTCCCGCAGTGCCCCCACTACTGAGCCTTTGCACTTGCTGCCTGGAACCCAGTCTCCCACTTCCTGTAGTTGACCCCTTCCACCTCATCATCTCTTCCTCCAGGAAGCCTTTCCTCTGTGTTCACAACTCCTGAGAGCGCCGTGCTGCACCTGCTCTGTCCCTGTGCCCAGGGCCTGGCTTACGGCAGGGGCTCCCCAAGGATTTGGCAGATGACTGTGCTTCTCTCTAGATCGTGTCTGAGAAACAGCTGGATGGGGGCAGTGCTGCTGCAGTGGGCCTCAGCCTGCTGCCCTGGACAGTAGGGTTGTGGGCTGAGGAAAGGGTCCATGGGCTGGGCCGCAGGTCCCACCTCCACCCCAGCCCGGCTCACCTTGCAGCCCGGCCGCAAGGCCAGGACTGCGTACCAGGCGTTGTGCCGTGCTTGCCAGAGCCTGCTGCGCTCCTCAGCATCCTTGGCCCAGGAGAAGTGGGAGGCTCCATGGTGCTGGGTGATTTCCTCTGCAGGGGACAGGGGGTTGACACTGGACCCTACTCTGGGACAGCCCATCCTCGCCCCCTACCAGCCGCCCCACAGCACACCTGCCCGCTGCAGCTGCTCTTCCAGTGCCTTCTCAGAGCCGTGGAACTCAAGGAAGAGCGTGGGTGCCACGGAGCAGTTCAGCTTGCTGTATCTGTTGCAGGCGTCTATCGTGATTTCATCCAGGAACTCTGGGACCAAGGAGAGGGCAGGCGAAGTGAGGCCTGGCCTTCAAAGGGGGCTTCTTCTAGGGAGCCCACTTCGACTGCCCAGTCCCT